GGTCTGTCCCGAATGTGGGGTCTGTCCCGAATGTGGGGTCTCTCCTGAATGTGGGGTCTCTCCCGAATGTGGGGTCTGTCCCGAATGTGGGGTCTCTCCCGAATGTGGGGTCTCTCCCGAATGAGCCTGGTCATGTTCCTGTGGGTGGCCACCATGACGTTTGTGGATGACCAGCCTATCCTAGAGTTAATCCCCAATAAACCCTGGCACAGTTCTAAAAGCAGAACATTTACCACTTATCTGGATTAAAAAGTGAGCCAATTGTTTTTGCAGTTTAAACAGGAGAAGCCCAGTCAGTTTGGGGCAGAGTAGAATTTGCATATCTTTTTAGGTAAGTCTTTAAGAGAGCACACTAATATATAAGAAGGCAAACTGGTGACATTTATTCTTTTTAGCTAAAGCAAGGACTACCAACTAAAGACAGATCAACACTTACAGAAACTTTTACATACTATTTTTTAGGGGTGTAACAGTACACAAAATTCACAGTTTGGTATCAACCACAGTTTTGGGTTTGCGGTGTGGTGCAATTTCAGTACTGCAGGCAAAACAGAATCTGTTTTGAAATTTATTAATAAATTTGCAAACAAACACAATTAGGAACAGGTGAACTAATAGCGATATGCCTGTCAGCGTGTCTGAATGACAAAACCTAATAGATGCTTATTTGCAAATTGTAAACATAAATAGGCCTATGCAAAGTTAATTAATCAAAAATATACATTATAACAATCATCCATCCATTATCTGTACCTGCTTGTCCTATTCAGGGTTGCGGCATAACAATTATAATGAACAAAATCCCATCTAAATCTTGTGTTCTCTACTGTCGAACATGATTGCATGTTTGTTGAGATTCGATATAACAGAGCTGACATACAGTTTTGATCTTATTAATTACTCTCTCTTGTGTTCGTTCCCTTAACTGGGAATCCAGAATGTTCCAAGATTGGAGATTATGACTGACTGCAATCAGCATTAGCCATAATCAGCATAAGGTCTTCACTGTCGAACGTCTACTTCTGAATTTAGGTTTCATCTGTATCAATAAAAGTATTCATTTGTTTCATTGTGCGTACTGAACCGAAAATGATGTACATGACGAATACGTGTTCCGTTACACCCTAAGTAACATGTAATGTTTACAAAATATTCAGCATGCCCTAACTTTAAATAGAATGATAATTTTGTGATTTACATGTGTCATAGTGTATAATAGTGAAATGGAAAATAACTTTTGTAATATTGATAAAGTAATGAGAGCACAACAGGCCACACTTCCAGCAGTGGGTTGGGAACGGGGTATCACTGTTCCGTCTTCTGGTACCACAATATGAAATGGTGAATGTTTGTACCGCGGTTTTGGTTTGAGAACCCTTATACCCCTTGCTATTTATGTACTGTACCTACTTGGTCTCCTGGCAGGATATCTAAGAAAGACCCTTTAAAAACTGCTAGAAAGGAGAAAATTATGTAAAAAGGACGTCTTTTGGAAATTCTTGCAGAATTGTTCACTTTTTATTTTGGTGGCACTTTGACACACTTCAGATCCCAATGCGCCTCTGCCAACAACAGAACAGGAGAGAGACACTGCGGGGGCTGATATGCACACCCCGGCTCGCCAGTCGTCCCCCAGCTACCCAGAGGAGAGGCAGAATGACCTTGGGCTGCAAGCCTTTCAAAGGAGACTCAGATCAGAGAGACTGTATTAGCAGAAGGTAGTGGCAGGAAGACAATGGCACGTACCAAGTGTGCTTCCCCAAAGGGGTGGACAGCGATATTAGCAAAGCTGCAGCTCGTCATACCACCCATTCTTGGGAAGCAGCATCTCCAGCTACAAGAATGTCCCCAATGAGCAGGAGTTCTGGCTGGCAAACAGCTGGTACTGGTGTATTGTGGGTAGGGTCTGCATCACTGCCCAGGGGACCATGCTAGACCTAGGAGAGAGGCTGCTCTTGCTGGGGAGGGCTGTTGTCCAGCTCATTAGTATCGGAAGGAAGATGAGAGCTGCCCAGGTGGTGGTACTGATGCCCGCAGGTGCCAGATTTTCCTGGGGAGGGCGTCCGCCACCAGGGGCTCATCACAGCGACAGACTGACGGGCAGGAACAGCAGCTGCTGAGTGACGGTGGTCAGCCGTAGGGGCAAAAGACGGATCGGGGGCAAGGACCAGCTGGTCAGGGCATGAAAAGAGACAACATGGAGAGGCAGGGAGGGCCCCGTGGCATTAAAGCTGGGAGGGGTTGATAAAGGACAAGAAAGACATACTGTGCCCATGCCGACATCTGTGATGATGCCTGTGGCACAGAGGACACTCAGACCGACCCAGTCCAGCATGCCATCCATCCCCTGGTTGCCACTCACCAAGATGGACGATTTAGAAGATGCAAGATATGCCATAGTCAGGCATCCTCTAAATATCCTGCAGCCCATGGATGGTACCAGCTGTCTTGGTGAGGAAGGACGGCAGCTGGCACTGTGTCGGCCAAAGCTGGCTGAGCACCATCACACGACCAGATCCCTACCCGCTACCCTCATGGGCTCCAGGTGGAGAAGACTGGTATTCATCCTGAGGCAGGGGCTGTACTGCTGAGTCATGCCTCATGCTGAGTCTTTGCCATTTACCCATGTAGCACTACTTTCACCATCAGGCTCAGCCATGTTGTTCTCATCTGGCTCCCGAAGCTTCCATGAGCACGAGGGTCAGCTGATGCCACCTCTGCAAGCGCTTAGAGCGACGGCAGGCAGAGAGGAGTGCGGCCCAGCAGCCCAGGCCACATCGTAGGCCCTCTCCTGGCCGCCACTGGCCTGTCCCAGTACATCCCGAGAGAGCTGGTGGACCGCCTACAGGTACCGGTACAGCCCCCTCACATCTCCATTGACCTCCGTCTCCAGTAGCTTCCTGAACACCACCTCTACTGGCAAGTGGATCTCCTGCCCAAAAGGACACATGACTGAGATTAAACCAGTGGATTCCTGCATGGACAGAGTATAAGTCCTGCACTGTTTGCTCTATCCCCCCCACATCTGCCCCCTCTCCTGCAGAATTTCACCGTCTCTCCAGATATGTGACAATAAAATTTGAAATTACTGTATATAATATGTTGGTGGGTTTTATAGAGTTGACAAAACCAATAAAACTGTACTAGATACATAAAAGAAAAGGCCTGGCAGATGATCATGTGCAGGTTTTAGTACCCTCTTTGTTACAATAGCAAGGAACAGCTCGCACTTGGTAGCTGATTTATTCTGCTGCTGATAATGTATCTGTAAACTACATGGTGTTTTACTAACATCCACATTCAACAGCTTGTATACAGTGTTTTATTAAGTGCTGGGTCCAGTCTTAAAATATTCATAATTCATAAATTAGACCAGGTTTTACTGCCAGTACGGTCCAGACTCAGCTGTTTTATAATGACTGTTAATTTCACATTGTTTTTTGTCTGTCTTGAGCGTCAGCAGTTCCTTGCTCATCCTCTGCCTCTTACTCAGCAAACCGATCAGAACCTAAATGACATTTCAGTCTTTTTTTCTTCTTCTTAAATATGACCCCGAGGCATGAGGGACGTGCGAGAGTCCGGGGCGGAGCTGAGAGTCCGGGGCGGAGCCGAGAGTCCGGGGCGGAGCTGAGAGTCCGGGGCGGAGCTGATTTGGGACGTGGGCTCTCTCTGGCCGTTAGATGACTTCAGTCGAGGTGCGGATGACGTGTCTGTCAGCAGATGTGAGGAAACAATGAAGCTGTTAACTACTGCTGGTGAGTGAAAGGACAGAATGGCACAGAAGCAGTTTGCGCTGCGGCGTGAGAGACTTCTTTGAATGTTCCCTGTGGCTATAATCACATTAAAGGACTTAATTTATTTACTAACAAACTTCAAGTTTCAGCCTTCGACTAAGCATGACCTTTTAATATTTTAGCCAGCAGCACAAAGCCGGTAATTACTGAATGAGACCACAGCATTTACCATTACAAGTAGGATTGAATGAAAGCTACTAGGTTAGGTTTCCTGTCAGAAGGTCCACTTCAGTATTCCTTAGCATAATGAGCACTTCAAGAAACCAGATAGTTCCAAGTCATTCATGAGTCGAATCCTTGATTTGAAGGCCCTAAAGCAGTGTTTCCCAATCCAGTCCTCCGGGACCCACAGTCAGTCCATGTTTTTGC